AATTACATTATTTTCATGAACATATTTCGTTAATAATATATTTCTTTTTGCACGATTATAGCGGATCCTACAACGGTTTCTCCTGAAGATGTTGCTAAGCATGGATCGTCTTGTGCACCATCTGTCTTAATTTACTTCATAAATATGATTCTGGGAAAGGAAACCGATGCTCCTGTTGGGTGTGATGTTTATATGTACAACAATCAAAGATTCATTCAAACTATTCTCGTCATTGGAGCTTTGGTGTGTATTCCCGTAATGCTCTTCGGAAAACCGTTGTACATCATGATTACCAGAAAAAAGAAACCTGGAGCAGCAAATTTGAAAGTAAGTGATTTTCCGTTCAATAAAAAATAATTAACAAAAAATCTTCCAGAACAAAACTAACGGAGATGTTAATCAAGGTATGGAATTGGATGAAATATCTGATAATAATGTTCAAGAGTCGGGAACATCACATCATGCAAATCACGAGGAGGAAGAAGCTATGGGAGAAATTATGATACACCAAGCTATACACACAATTGAATATACTCTTAGCACAATTTCCCATACTGCTTCCTATTTGCGTTTGTGGGCTTTGTCCCTTGCACATGCACGTAAGTATTTATACTTAATTTATACTTAATATTGAGCTCACACCTATTTAAACTCGTCCGAACAAATACAGTTTCTTCAGGTCAGTTATCAATAGTGTGACTCTGCCAACGCAGTAAACTTGATCCAATCCGCGGCAAATCAGGTGAAGAATAATCCACTCCAAGGTTGGCAGGTCGTGGAACATTTTCATCCAATCTAATGAGGACTTGATCGACGGTTAGTCCTACTACTTCATAGAAAGCTGTTTCACGATAATGCGGGGCTCCCCTGTAATGGAACTATTTTGTGACAATGTAGTGACCAAACAATCCGAATTTTTATCTACAAAGAAGATGAACGTCGACTGAACCACTCCAAATCCTCTTTATATTATCGAATCAGAAGCAAGTGCTTTACAGTTCTTCAACTCTGGTTAATGAATCTAGGAGGCTACGTGGTACAGTCAGGAAGTGACTTATCTCCGCCTCAAGAGCAGGATATCTTATCAATCTGCTTTTCACCGAATTTTTGGACAGCAGAAGCAGAAACTGTACCAGGAGTGCAAACAAACTACCTCCAAGCAGGTGGTTAGTAAATGGTTAGGCTCAAACAATGATTTACCCAAACCAGAGGCGACAACGTACTACATGACTCAATTTTATACATTGTCAGATCTAGTTAACTAACAGTTGCCCTTATATGAGAATGTTGCTGCGAACATTGAGGTAGTAATCGACAAAATCAATATCGACCAATCATCATCATATTTAGTATGCCATTATAGCTGATGTAAAGGGTATTCCAAAAAAAAGATCCACATATTCATTCAAAGCTGAACAATCTTATATAAATGGCTACAGATCAAGTAGAGTGATTTCTGGCTAGTGGATGCAAATAGAACCGTGCAGCTATGGGAGAACGTCTTCATGAAACCTGAACCTGAATCTTACTTCTCAAGTCACATTTGTGTTGCTTAATTCACTTAATTGAGGAAAATATACCATGGTCTGTCATCTTTGGAGTGGATTATGCTTCTCAAGGACATTCAGGTCCTGGTAGTAGAGCACATACTCTGTGCATGCCCTGCCGTAGACCGGATTAGATAATGAAAAACTTCCATGTTTGTATTTTCAGCATTTGTTTCATTCCTCAGTTACTAAGAAAAAATTGTATTATTTGTGAATTATTGCATATCATGTGATAATTTATGTGCGAAATGCCTGAAGTACCCTAAATAGCTTTTTGTTGGGTTGAAATGCCCATAAGCGCTCAAGACAATTTTATAATTCTATATCGATTCTATATATTCCATTATCATTTCTGATATCCACTTAGAGCGGATTTTTTCATGTATTTATTATCAATCAACCGACTCATTTTCATTACTTTACTTTTCCAGAATTGTCTGAAGTCCTGTGGGTACAAGTATTGTCAAAGTTAGCTTTGAAAATGGGTACTGGCTATATAGGAGTTCCTTACATCTTCATTGGCTTCTCTGTGTGGGCAGCGTTCACTATTGCCATTCTTGTTCTTATGGAAGGCTTATCAGCATTTTTGCATACGTTGCGTCTACATTGGGTGGAGTTTATGAGTAAGTTCTATTCTGGACTTGGGTATGCCTTTGAGCCGTTCAGCTTCAAGTTCATCTTGGAAGAAGAAGACGAAGAAAACTAAAACCGCATCACTACATCGTGATATTTTTCTTCAGAATAATGAATAGAAAGTAATATATTATACTAGTGTGAATTGAATGAGTCTTCTTTATTTCACTTATTTGTGTATTTTGCGTCTTATATTACTCGCATCAACGAAGTCTTTTCTCCGGAAATCAGAAACTTTTTGAAGCGAATACAGAATCTATATTGTTAAAGCAATATGTATGATTATTTATATAAGAAACTCAGTTTTCGGTGCCTTTTTTTCGAGCAATAACTACACCGGAAACGATTTGATCTTCACAAACTTTATTTACAAAAAATATCACGTTTTGCTACCAAAGTAGCTTTTTCTTAGTGAATAACATACTGGATTGAGTTTTCAGTATGTTATTCACTACGGAAAAGCTACTCTGTGAAGATCAAATCGTATCCGGTGTAGTTTGTGAAATTACTATGGATCTTCATGAAGTAACGGCCAAGTTATTCAGAAAAAAACATTGAATTTGTTTTTGATAGATATAATAATGATGAAAGTAAAGCGGCTCTGAGAAATCGTAGATATATAAGTTATACTCAATCGATCATTTATTCAATTGAGAAATCCAGGCACACTGAAATATTCGAGATGAATAACAAGAAAATACAGACGAAATTGAATTAGAAAATGGTCTCATATCAAGTTACTCCACAATGATTCAATTGTTGGTTTTTACAATCTTCTTTGGATGATAACTGGATTATTGCTGATATTCGAGAACATTTATTTTATTTATGGGTCACTTAGGCACTCGGATGATAAAAAAATTATTGCTGATAGTCGTAACTATTTATTTATAGGTCACTTGGGATCTTTCACCTCTCCACTCTCCCATCTCTTCGAATTTCAGTTCAGTGCAACGTAGACTGTTTCCCCGCTGGATAAAAAATTTCCGTATGTTTCGTATCTCCACCAAGTCTTGGCTGGATGCCCCGTCGGTTAACATGTATGCAACTTCTTTGAACTTCTTCTCGAACAAGTGTCTTTCCCTATGGATGATCTCAGTGCCAGACCACTTGATATTTTTTTCATGAATTGATACATGTTCCGCTATTGCCGGACTTTCAATGGCCTCATATAGGATTTGCTGCATTAACATGGTTCCGGTAAATGCAACTTTTGGAATCGAACTCCGTGTTTGGTTTCCATGAGACTGCTACAGATTGTGTTCCCGGATCTGGACATGTTCTGACATTATACTTGGACTCCAGTCTTTTTATTCTCTCCGACATTTCTATGAGATAGGGAAGGGATAGCACTGCTTGCGAAGGCGTCTCGATATTTCACCCGTTTTTCCTTTTCGCCTTGCTTGGTCGAGAAGAACTACATTAGGCTGATGATCTTGTATGAATCTGAAAGTGGGAAATGAATAGTTTCAATAAATTTGGTACTTCTTATTCCCCACAACGTTCACATGGAAGGGTCTTATCACCCCTTCTCTGGAACATAGTTCTGGATACCCTGATTAATCACCTCAACAATAAATAGATTCTACACAAGAGAGAGAGAGAGAGAGAGAGACACAGAGAGAGAGAGAGAGAGAGACAGAGAGAAAGAGAGACAGAGAGAGAGACACACAGAGAGAGATACAGAGAGAGAGAGAGAGTGAATACGCACCTTTACCCATTGTCGAACGATTAATGTTCACTGCGTAACAACTATCTGAATTGAAAGCAAACTGAATATCTGCATTGTTTTATTATAATTTATTTAAGTAATACTTCATTTTGAGATTCTCACTGGACAGTTTACAAAACCGTGACATGTGTATCGATATACAATGACTCTTTCAATTGCTTAAGGAAACTATGGTATAGCAAAACACGTGTTGCGGTTTTGTAAACTGTTCAGTGAAAATCCAACAATAAAGTTTTTCTTGAATTAGTTATGAATTTTAATCAAGTATCGCCCAATTCCATCACATATCTTAACATCAAGTTCGTTCGGGTGTATGGAGTTGATGTGGTTCAGGAATGCATGAAGATCTTCGGATCTATGGGGCCATATAACGAAGATGTCATCTACGTATTGGAGCCTACACGTGGGTTTGAGGTGAGACGTGTCAATGGCTCTGGTTTCGAAGTCCTTCATGTAGAGGTTTGCAAGGACTGGAGAGAGAGGAGAACCCATTGGGGCGCCTTTGACTTGTTTGTAGAATTTGTCTTGGAAACGGGAATATGTGCTGGACATGCAGTGGCTGATGAGGTTGATCGTATCTTGTGGAATTTGATGTTTCGTTTTGAGAAGGGACAAGGTTTCGGATACTGGGATATTTGTGAAAAGGGATACTACGTCAAATCTGACGAGGATGTCTGTTTGTTGGATATTGAAGGATTGAAGAATTTCTATGAAGTATAGGAGTTTTGGACATATGATGAAGAATGTTCGGCTATTGGTTGAAGGATATATCCAAGATACTTGGCAAGGGCGTGTGTGGGTAAAACCAAATGCGCTCACGATGGGACGAAAGGGGGTGTTTTATTTGTGTATTTTTGGACCATACAAGCGGGTTGTACGAGAATATGCATTTCTTGGAATGAGAGGTTCCTTCCTTTCAGTGGGACTGTTGGAATTGTTGATGAGTACTTTGGTCTTCTTTTCAAGGTATACGGTTGGGTCTCTAAAGGTTATTTGGTATTCCGGAGAGTTGAGTAATGTCGTCATATTGTCGATGTAGAGTAGACTGTGGTATAAAGTCAAATTAACTTTTTGATATTCAATTGGTTTTGTAGTGCTATAACGTATATCAATCTAGACAATGGAAGTCCGAACTGATGAAATACATCACGAAACATTGTCAACCACCTTCAAACAAACAATGATAATGATTTTTGTTTAGAAGATATATCTATTTTCAATCATCCTTCGATAAAAATCAAAATCATTATGCAAAGAGCTGTCGTCATTTACTTGTGAAACATTTTTATTTGATTTATGAAGTATTTCACGAAAATCTAATACCGATATTTTGAAAAATTCAAATCAAATTATTTGTTTTTTTCAATTTTTTTTTTTATTTTGAATAATTCCTTGAGAATAGTTTATAACGAAATTTTATCGAAAGAACATGTCTGAAAAAGAATATATATTCCATACGTTAGCAACTCACCGTATATACTACGGCAATAATTTGTCAGTGGATTACATTTGTCAGTTTGTCATTAAGTGAAAAAAAGTCCTACTAGTGATATGGCCAATCCATGTTATTGTATATTATGGTTCCTGGTTTTGTTCACGGTGGCCTTCCCAATAGCATTTATTTGTGCTTTTTTCTTCATCATTTGCTTCACATTCACTGCTTGCTGTGACGGTTGTAAAGTAAGTAGACAGTACAATTTGCTACTTGAATTTCCGACCGTTTCTAATAATTTGAAATAGGGTTTGTAATAGGTATATTGAATAATTTTACTTATTTTAAACAATAATATGAAAGATGTTGAAGAAATGTCATATTGTAGTGTCATAATATGCGTTCCAATGTTACATTATAATTTAGATATTCATTTTATAAATCAGTCTCATAGGTGTTTTTTACATGGTATAGATATGAAGAGACGCATATATCAGTTCAGAGTTTTTAGGAATTTTCTTCTAGCCGAAGTGAACCTATAAATTCATATCAATGATGTATTAGAGATTGAGATGAGAAGTTTATTATTATGGTATGTACGCTGTCATAGCTAGTGGCTAACGGATTATTTGTTATTTCCGGCTTTGAGCCGTGGTATTAAGTTTTTGGTCCTAACGTTTCGTCTGCCACTACGGCATATAAAAGGCGATGCGATAATGGTCGGAGTATTCTACATTAGCAAACTGAAGAAGTTCTGACGTGTGTGCGTTTATAATGAAATTAGATGTCGGATAACCAATTGTTTTTGAACCTGCTCCAATCGACTCTTCTTGAATCATTGGAAGAATCTGTTTCATTCTGAGGTACCGGTATCCATGTTTTATTGATTTCCAGGCCTTACGATCACAATTGTTTTCATGTTCATTATGGATTTTTATGGCCTCCCTCTATAACTTCGTATAATACAGATGGTTTTGAGTAGAACTTATGTGCGGTAAAAGCCAATATCCTGAATGTCTTCTGAGAGAGCGTGTTCTGCAACTGCCGATTCGTCTGAAAGTGGCAATTTTTTTATGCTCCATCAAGCACGTTTGACTGTTCACTGATTTTTTTCGTGGTTCCGAGAGCCACAACCACTGTATACTGCCGTTATACTGTTGGTGTACTTATGGATCTCTGGGATCTTCAGCTGATCTGAGACTATTTTCTGTTTGTCTTAGTGGGTTTAAACATTTTTTTTGGGGAATCCTTCCAATACGATCCGTCACAGTGAAGGATGGAAAAGTTCTTCCGTTGACGATCTAAATTCAACCTGAAATCAAAGTTCGTACATTTGTAGTTCGCAATATGCGTTAAAAATATATTTGTAATTTTCAATGAATAAAAGTAGACAAATTTTGCTATTTCCGTCACAAAAGTGCTTTTTGATAACGACCTCTTGTTTACCTATTTACGTAGGCAAATGGTTATCAACAGTTTAAAAATTTTGTATATAAAAGGACTGATTTCAATCAGGAATAATATAAAAATTTCGAAAATAATTGAATGAAAATGAATGTTTTCCTATACCGATCAATGACTTAATTTGAGGTAATCAAGATGAACTTCATAAAACACACTTTCCCAATTCAAGAGTTTCATTTGTGTCTTCATGAGATTTCAGACAAATATCAATTTCCAGTTATTCCACTCTTGGGCATTATTGTAACTTAGACGAATTATCCTTTTCAAATAAACACATTTCCTGTATAATATTCACCTTCGTATTCCACATCAACAAATTGATTTTTCATCAGCTCGTCATCGATTTTGACCTCTTGTATACTGTATTTTGTTTTTCTCTTAGTTTTCATTGGTATTTGATCCTGTTTCACTCATTATTTTTAATATACATATTGATACATATTGGTGTAGTAATGAATCTTCCTCTGAAGATGATGACTTGGTGATCGAAACACGTGTCGATGTGTTAAAAATAACGGTTTGGTGTTGGGATAAAACTCCAGCGATATTCATACATATTGAACTTCCTGTATGAGGATTGTAGGAGACCAACTCGAGTCAAGTTTTCAATATATTGTAATGAAAAAATCCAGCAATATATTTTTCTTTAACAATTCACTTCATATCAAATAGATATTTATTGAAATTGATGGTACTATATTTTTACCACGATGTGACAAAACGATCGGACAAGGAAGTGTCAATTACCTGGCACTTAGAATATGAGTATTAAAAAAAAAGGGGGGGTACCTCCTGATTATGTCATTTACCAAAGTGTGAAATTTACTCTACATGTGACTTATCAATAAACCCAAATATGACTTAACCCGGATGTGTCGTTATATCACGTACAAGCAATTTGAGCTGTTTCTGTGATTTTTCTGTTCAGTTGTTCTTTTACATGTGTTACATTGTTTTGTAATATTCTATTTTATTACGCAAATAAACATTATTATTATTATTTTTATGGAAGTATGCGCTAGTCAGGCCATATCCCTTGAGGCCCCGATACATTCGGGAGGGCGCGCCAGCATTACCAACGACCCCTCCCCACAACGTGAGGTAAGTGATTATTGGGTCCGAGAATCAAGTGAGCCAAGAATGACATTTTTTTGGATCTGAGAGTAGAGACGGCATCATTCCACCAATGACTCCAATCATCAGAATAACCATCTTGACAGAGTGGTCTGGATAGAGTCTGCGGAGTTCGAAGAGAAAATTTCGATATATTTTCCGTTTTTCCTCCTCTTTTCGGGCGATATTCCTCTCGCCAGGAGCTGAAAACTCCACGACAAATATCGTCTTGCTCTGGTGGTCTAGAAGGACTACATCAGGGTTATTAGCTTGTATGAGCCTGAGGGTGGGGAACGAATAGTTCTAATAAATTCGGCACTTCTCGTTCCCCACAACGGATTCAATATCCCTCGGAGCGTAGGGCAACACCGGTGTCTCGTCAATACTGTGCGAGTGCCGTAGATGGTAATATAGCATTCTTAGGGCCGCGTTATGTCGATGGATATAGGCCGAGACCGCATATGCTAGACATGCATAGCAAGTGCATTAGAGTCTCGGACGCTTCGCGGCAGGCCAGGAACCTCTATACCCATCACGCGTCTGCGGTAGACTAAGCCATGATGATGACTAGCCATTATGAACCCCTCAGTTTCTGACTTCAGCCCACTCGACTCGAAAGCGAAAGTCAGGCGCTTTGATGAACCAAGGTCTCCAATGTTATTGAAGGAGACCCCATGCATTAGCTTATCCTTATGTTACCAAAGAAGTGAGGTGATCTCTACGGCTTTTATATGAGCTTTTTGCTGAACGGGTTCCAACTCGGTGACAGAGTTGTGGTCACCTCGTTCAGTGTCAAAAACTGAGTTCTTCAGCTGCTTGGGCAGCTGCCCTGACGAGAAATGCTTCAATTCCTGCTCTCTTATAGTCACGGACCATGCAGAGAAGGGAATCCGAACTTCTGACGACTTTACAGGCTATATCCAGTAACATTCTGTCATGTAGACACTCCAATCTCAAAAAAGTTCAGGGCCTCCCTGTTGTCGGGGGAAGTATAACCGTGGAACATAGTTGATACAGCTCCTCCCGAGTCCACTTCACTACTCCAAACGAGTAGAGTAAGTTTGCACATTTGTCTATCCCGAATTTCATACCGATAGCATGCGTGAATTCTTCCACCACCCTCAAAGACTGATGGATATCCTTCTCTCCAGAGGCATAAAGTTTAAGATCAACCATATAAAACAGATGGGTGACCTTGTGCCTCCGGTTTCCGGGGTGCCACAGTTATACCCTCGAGTATTTCTGAGCGCAACGAATAATGGCAATAGCGAGATGCAGAAGAGAAGGGGACTGAGGAAATCGCCCTGAAAGACACCCGTTATGAAAGTGACCCACCCTGTTTGGACTCTGGCTTGACCAGATGTTATGGTGAAGCGCCCGAGTGGTATCAGTTGTTCAATGCATCTCACTATTTTGTTGGGTACCGCAAGGCATCTGAGCAAATGCAAGAAGAGCTCATGCGATATTGTATCAAATGCCTAACGGTAATCGATCCAGGCCATAGAGAGGTTGCGCTTATATTGTATAGAGTCCTGGGTTACACATTTATCGATGAACAGGTTCTCTTTACATCCAGCGACTCCTCTCTTCGACCCTCTCTGCTATTATATCCGTTCGAACACTCGATCAACTGCGGTGAGTATTCGTGTGTATAAGATGCTTGTAAACAACTTATAACACGCACACGTGTGCGCTGGTCAGGTCCTATCCCCCGAAGCCCCGATACATTCGGGAGGGCGCGCCAGCATAATCAACCAATGACCACTCCCCACACCGTGGGGTAGTATTTTTGCTTATTTTCACTCTGTTCCCATTTCAATTCTATCCAGTTTCCATTTATGCACGTTCACCAAATTCAGACACTTCATTAATGAAATCGAATTTTCATTCATTATGTTATTGTTAAACCTATGTTTCAACTTGATCTCTATTTGTTCTATCTTTTTTGATCCTCTTGTTTCTCTTCTCATTTTGTTTCTTTTCTCATTTTGTTTTGAATTTTATGTGTCTTTGATTCATTTAACTGTGTTCTTTGAAATGAATGTAGATCAGAAAATATACTCGTACCTTCGTGATGTACCCATAAATGAAATCAAAAATCAAAAACCTGTAGATAGATGGCCAAGATAATATTAATTTAACGATCAGGAGAATAGTTGCTGACAGTTACCAAGTAGAATTTACTAATGAGAAAACGATGGCATCTTCGAGAAGGTAAATGTGGTAAAACACAACGTAATAATGTTGCGTCAATTATTGGATTTCATATTGGATATCAATATTTCTTGGCATATTGCTATTTCTCGATAATAGAGTATCATCTAGCGATGGTAGTTTCTCAGAAAATTGGAACACTATTTTGAACTAGAAAATTGTTAAGACCTCAACAAAGTTCATTCCTTGTGAAGCTCAAATACTATGCTTTATTTATATTTCAGGGTATATCGGATTTCTTCAGGAAAGGTTTGGAACTACCTGGCACCGCTGCAAAAAAGATGATTAACTGCGAAGGATGTTAGTGGAAAATGAGCCGGAAATGAATTTACGACATTTTTACAGTTAGAAAGTTTTCAAAACGATGTTTTTGAATTAAAAAAAAATGTTTCAGGTAATACTGAACTATTTTTCTTTTTATAGGAATATTAGTAAAATATTCATCTTTTAGGACATACTGCATTATTTTCAAAGGAAGGTTTGCTATTTCTCAAGATAGTAGGATAGTTTCCACTTTAATTTCAGAATAAATGGTGCAGGAGTTGCATTTATTGCAATGAAAACAACATAATAACTCTTCAATTACATTTTTCCAATGATTATAATCATTTATTATATTAATTATATATATTATACATAGTATTTTAT